TGCACGGATGTATGTCTAAGCCGGCGCGCGCTCCGCACGCAGCGAGTGGACGTAAGTGTGTGTGTGTGTGTGTGCGTTCCACTCCCAGCTCCGCTCCTCTTGGTGCCCGGCCCCCTTCGTTCCTCAAGCCCCACCCCCACCCCTCCAGGCTTTGCTTTTACAAAAGGTCTCCCCAGTGCTAGCTGCCCGGGCGCCCCAGAGTGAGCCGGACGGAGGCTGAAGCAGCCGCCTGGGCTTCGCGCCCCGCCCAGTCCTTTTCCCTTGCTGGGGATCCCCCTCTTCCCCGCCCACCCCTTACCCCCCATGCAGCTCAGCGCCCTATGCTAGCCCTCCCCCTCCCCCCTCCAGGAGCGGGGCGCCGCGGGGGGAGGAGGGGGAATGGGCTGCGGGTCCTTGGTGTTCTAGCACCCAGCTTTTCTCCAAGCCGGGTCACGATGTACGACTGCATGGAATCCTTTGCCCCGGGTCCGCGACGGCTGTATGGGGCCGCCGGGCCCGGGGCCGGCTTGCTGCGCAGAACCACAGGCAGCTCCTGTTTCGCCGGACTTGAGACTTTTGCCTGGCCACAACCCGCCAGTCTGCAATGTAGGTAATTCGTTCCCAGGTGTGGGGGTGTAGGGTGCAGGAAAGATGGGAGGCACACTCTTCCTCCTGTGTAAAGGTTGGGACTGGGGCTGCAAGTGGGGAATCCGGGTCCATTTCTGTGTGAGGCGCTGGCCCTTTAAACGTGGGGGCCTCGGCGTCTCCTTTGCGTGTGTGCCGTAATGTTTGGAGTGTGTGTGGTTTTTATGGTGGGTGTTTAAGCTGGGATCTGTGGTTGATGCCATTCCAGAGTTCCTGGGGACTGAGAAAAGACCGAGTTATGTGTTGGTAGTTGGTACCCTCAGATCCCAGGCCCCGGGAGAGAGAGGGCACCCAGGACCGTGGGTGGCGTTTGTAAAGCCCATGTGGGAACTTGGAAGTGTAAATAGTATTTGCCGAGCGTGTGAACCCTGGCGTGTGCAGCGCCGCTTAGGTGTGTGGGTGGAGGGTGGAGGGTCTCGGTGCACAGTCGCCCTGACCAGCGTAGGCAGATCCTCGGGGCTGGGTATGGGGGGTGTTTGGGGCGTAGGGCGTGGAGGGCGTGCGCCCCTGCGTGGCGGCGGGGGCGGCGTTGGAAAGTGCAAGGTTCGCGGGCGCATCCTGTGCGCTCGGAACCAGGGGTCTCCCCCACGCTGAAGGGGAAGGAGACGGGGCCCCTAGCGCCCACCCGCCCCCCGTTTATAAAAGCGAGTTGGGAAACACGTATTCGGTTGTATTGAGTGATGACTTTCTATGGTTCCAACACCCAACTTCAGCAGGAAGCGAAAAGTTTAAAGCAAAATCTATGGTGCTGGTTGGGGGGGGATGGCTTCCAAGTGACAGCGACTCTGGGCAGATGACTGTAGGGTCCCCAAATAGACATCTTCTCCCCCTCCCTGTGTGAAATGGGAGATGCCAGGCCTGGGGCCCTGGAACCCCTTTCCAAAGCGGTAATAAAAAAGCTGGGGACTGAGAGCAGTAAAAATGAAGTCCAGATGAGAGGCAGCTTTGAAGCCGGGGCCGCAGTGGCTGGCGGGGGTAGGGTGTGGGGAGGGGCCGGGAGAGGAGCCTGGAACCCCCCCCCCCTTCCCAAATTTACTCAGGGCTGGGACTGCGCTCGCAGCCCGGACGGCGCGGGCGCGGGGGGGGAGGGAAAGCAGGGCGGGGGGGTGTGGATCGGGCTTGGGGGCACGCTGGGAAGGGGCGGGCAGCGGGCGGGGCGGCCGGCGCTGGGGGAGTGTGCACGCCGGGTCACCCAGCCCCCGCCAACGCGCTTCTCTCCTTGGCACTCCACTGCGCTGTTTACAAGTTCGGATTTTTTTTTTTAAGTTTTTTTGGTTCCAGGGCAGAGCCGCTCAGATTTAACAACTGGGAGACTGGAAGAGGGAGGTGGCAAACAGGAGATCAACTTTGGTGTCAAGTCGGGTGGGGCAAGAACTAAAGTGTGCCATTTCAAGGGTGGAGAAAACATGGAGCTTTGCTTTGCACCAAGTTCTTGTGAATTCTTCCTTCTTATCACCCAGTAGAACAGAGTTGGCATATGGGGAAAAGTGTTGTGAGGCAGAAAAAAAAATCTTTTGAGAAGGGGTTTTGAGGGTTGGGCAAGGGACCCTGTCCTTATGAGGTTTGTGGCAGCTCCTTAGACTTGACTGGCAGGATGCTTTTGCATTTCAATTTGCAAAACTGAATAATAATTTTGACCTCTAGGGTCTGGGTAGGCACACAAAATCAGGTTCAGGCCTGCCTTCTGTCCACCCCATCTTTTAGAGAGAGAGTTTAGAAAGTGGTTTAGAAGCTTGGCACTGGTAGCTCATGCCTGTATTCCTAGCTACTCAGGAGGCTGAGATCTGAGGATGGTAGTTCGAAGCCAACTGGGGCAGAAAAGTCCCTGTGAGACTCTTATCTCCAGTAAACTACTCAAAAAAGTTGGAAGTGGCACTGTGGCTCAAGTGGTAGAACACTAGCCTTGAGCACAAAGAGGCTCAGGGACAACGTCTAGGCCCTGAGTTCAAGCCCCAGGACTGGCAAAAAAAAAAAAAAGTGGTCTAGAGAGGAGGGCAGAATGGCATGTTTGGGTACAATTGGAAGCTTTGGTGCTGCGCTGGCAGGCTGAGGTGTTTGGCAGCAGAGCTATTGGCTTGTAAAGGTGTAACCCAGTGGTGGGTGTTATGCCAGCTTTGTGACTTGTCATCCACCTCTGTGATGTGACTGGAGTGAGTGTGCCTCACTGCCCTTGTGTGAGTTTCTCTTGCCTGGGTCCCGCTGGGGTTAGAGGAACTCAATGTTAAGACTAAGCCTGCTTTTGTGTCCATGTGTTTTTGGCCTGTGAGCCTGTGTGTCTTCAAGGAGGTGTGTGCTAGGTTGTGAGTCCAGGCAGCTCAGCTCTGGGCCTCGCAGCTGGGAGCGTTTACAGCCGGTTATAAAGAGTTTGTTTGAAGCTCCGCTCAGCCTGGCCAGGAATTTCCTCAATTTCAGCAATTTGGGCTTTAAAAGAAGAGAAACCCAGAGCCTACCCCCCCTCTTCCCAACAGGGACCCCTGCCTAGCCCCAGGAGCAGCATCCCCCATGGAGACTTCTCAGCTGAGGAGGGGGATCCCATCTTTCAGTGCAGACCCTGCTGGTTTTCTAGCTCTCTCCACTTGCAAAGCGACCTCTGAGCCACTCGACTGCATTTTAGGGTTCAGGGCCTGGGAGGTAGATAAGTCATAGGGATATTAAGAATGGGTGACAGTGCCACTTAGATGGGAAAAGCTGCCCCCAGGCCTGTCTCTCTGGGGCCCCCAATCTTATAATTGGCTGGCGCTGCCCCATGCCCGTCTGACCGCACCCAAGCTCTTGCGTAAGAGAGGAAATGAGGCAGCGCTCTGCGGGCAGGGAGGGCGTGAGCGCCAGAGAGAGCACCACCCCACGCACAAGCCTTTGGGCCAGACCCCAGGATGGGCCTGAGGAGTGAGGAGAGGGCCTGAAAGACATTCCTGCCCCTCTCACATTCTCAGCACCAGTCCCTTCTGATGCTCCTCCACCCCCACTAGTCTTCAATAGATCACACCCCCCCTTCACTCCTTTCTTTGGGGGACTCTCACTCCACTAGGATTCTTATGCTAATTGCCCCTGAGTGTTGGGGATGGGGAGGGCTTCCCTCTTGTGTGCTGGGTAGAGCTGGCTTGGAACCCCTGCTTGTGGGCTATTCTAATATCCTCTGGCAACATTAGGGCAGACTTGTGACCCAGGTGGGCTGCCAGGGTAGGAGGAAGAAGGCGTTCATGAGGGTGTGTGGGACAGTCCTGGGGGGGGGGGAATCTTCCGGATCAAGGCAACGAGCCCTACAGATTGAAATAGTTACAGATGTCCTGAGCCTCTGAAGATGGACCACACACTCACACAGGATTTACTCCAAAGCCCCGCTGAACAGAGTGTGGACTTCCCTTACTCTGAGCCTACATTAGCGCCCCTTGTGAGCTGTGATTGAGTATTTCCAGAGGCATCTCAGAGGGAACACAGGCTTAGAGAGAGTCGGGGATAGGTCCCTCACCAGTTCTATTTACCTACCATCACCTGACTCCCAGCTTTGCTTCAATAGCTCCTAGACCTAGGAATCTGAGCAAATGCCTGTTTTCTCCTTCCTGGACACTTAAGTCTTGTCAGAGGACCTAGTACCTTGGTCCCACCTCAGCTGGGAGTATAGCACTGAACCTAGAACCTTTTCCCCTCAGCTTTTCCAGGTGTGCAATAAGGCTGTTGCTTATCTTCTAACTTAGAGTTAGATAGTATATGCTCTACCACCTGCCTTAGTGGTCCAGTTGTGTCTAGAGCAAAAGAACTTTGGTGGTTGGTTGAGAGGTGGTTTGAAAAGGAAAAGATGGAGGATTATTTGACCTCTATTACTTGCAAGAAATACTCTTCTGCTACTGAAATCTACCAGGTCATTCAGGCAGGTGTCCTGTAATGGCCCTACCTGCAGCCACTCATCTCCTGGAGCTGAGGGGAGCAGGAGGCTGGAGATGTGGGGGTAGAGACTGAGGATGGCGAGAGGCCAGCTCCCCTACCTGGTCTATCTACCAGAGTGACAAGTAGTAAGAACTCAGAGATGTAGGGACTTAACTCTTTCACTTATATACTTTACAGTTTGGGAAACTGAGGCTCAATGAAGTTAACTTCCAGGATGGCCTTGGTTAGGAATTTAGAGAATTATATCATGTCAACTGGGGGATTAGGGCTAGAATTAATGTAGAAGAGTTGGCCAGACTGTAGGATGGACTAAGAACCCAATCGTTGGTCTGCCCTAGTAGCAGCTGCCTATGGCTTTCTTGGAGACTGTGCAGTGTGGTGGGTCTGGCTATCACTAGCAGGCCAGAAAAGAAGTGGATGTATAGGGCATGTGATGAGACTTGCCATCTCCCCACCCTCATGTAACTGTTTCTTCTCCCTCCCCCTTCCAGCGGTGGAGACACAAAGCACTAGCTCAGAGGAAATGGTGCCCAGCTCGCCCTCGCCCCCACCACCTCCTCGGGTCTACAAGCCGTGCTTCGTGTGCAATGACAAGTCCTCTGGCTACCACTATGGGGTCAGCTCGTGTGAAGGCTGCAAGGTGTGTATACCGTGGGATAGGTGGATTGGAATCCATAGTTTTCTTGGGGAGATAAATGGCCAGGGGTACAGGTGCTCTGTATAAGTGGGGCAGATGAGGTGAGGGGCTGCTTTTGCCCATAGATGGTTAATAGATTGGGTCAGGAATGGGGCCACTTGCAATGGCCTATGAGATGCTGGTATTCTTAGCATCCTGCTTCAGGGGCACTCCTCATTCCAGGGCTTCTTCCGACGGAGCATCCAGAAGAACATGGTGTACACATGTCACCGTGACAAAAACTGCATCATCAACAAGGTCACCAGGAATCGCTGTCAGTACTGCCGGCTACAAAAGTGCTTTGAAGTAGGCATGTCCAAGGAAGGTAGGCTTCTGTCCCTGGCCTGGCAGGCATACTACTATCCTAACCTGTGGTTTCCTCTCTTCCTTTTGGCTATACGCACCTCCCAGACTCCTGCCCTCCTAGCACACGAGTCCTATTTGATGATCCTTTCCCATTCTCCTCTCTTCTTAACTCTTCTTCTGAATGGGCACATGGTGATTTTAGGGTTTCATGATCCCCCTGTTTTGTGGAGCAGCTCAACAGCATGCCAGTTCCTTCTTCTTCCAGTTCCCAAGAGGAGCCTGCGATGGCTCTGGGGTGGCCCCTCCTTTCCATCCCCCCCCATTGTGCTGCCAAGGCTATAAGTGGATATCCTGCCTGTATATCCTGCTCCCCCCCCCTCCCCAGCTCCTGCAGGGTGACCGGAAGGGCAGAATGGAGCCGAATGGCCTGAGGAGAGAGCTTGAGCTGCAAGCTCTGGGTGGGGCTAGGGAAAGCCAGTCTGGGAATAGGAGCTAATGTAGGAGGTAGGGAAACTGAGGCACTAATAAAGGAATAGATATTCATGATAAGGACTGAGCACATTAAGTTAGAAAACACATCCAAAAGGAGGCTCTGAAGATACCCACTCTCACCTTGTGCTTCCACTTCAAGCCGTGCGAAATGACCGGAACAAGAAGAAGAAAGAGGTAAAGGAAGAAGGGTCACCAGACAGCTATGAGCTGAGCCCCCAGTTAGAAGAGCTCATCACCAAGGTCAGCAAGGCTCATCAGGAGACATTCCCCTCGCTCTGCCAGCTGGGCAAGTACACCACGGTGAGAAGTGGGCAGAGATTCCTCCTTCCCCATGAAGGCTGCTTCAGAAAAATGGGTAGGGGTGCTGAGGACAAGGAGAATGCCAACCTGCAGTGAGGAGCTAGCTTCACACTGGGTGAGGGGTGGCCTTTGCTCACATTCTAACCTCCCTCTACTGCTGCAGAACTCCAGTGCAGACCACCGGGTACAGCTGGATCTGGGGCTGTGGGACAAATTCAGTGAACTGGCCACCAAGTGCATCATCAAGATCGTAGAGTTCGCCAAGCGGTTACCTGGCTTTACAGGACTCAGCATTGCTGATCAGATCACTCTGCTCAAGGCTGCCTGCCTGGATATCCTGGTAAGTTAGACCTGTGGGTCCTGCCCCAGCCTGACTTTCACAAGAAACTCCCAACATACTGGGTGCTGGGTGGCTTACGCCTATAATCCTAGCTACTCAGGAAGCTGAGATTGATATTGAAAGATTGATGTTCAGAGCCAGCCCAAGCAGGAATGTCTGTGAGACTCTTACCTCAATCACCAAAAAGCCCATAGTAACACTGTGGCTCAAGGGGTAGAACACTAGCTTTGAGCAAAAAAGCTAAGGGACAGTGCTCAAGTCCTGAGTTCAAACCCAAGTACCAGCCTGCCTCTCCCACTCCCCCCTCCAAAAAAGGAAAGAAAAGAAACTCCCAATAGTTCCTTGATCCACTACAAGATTTCCTTATCTGCCACCTGGGACTTCCCAGATCTCCCCTAGGATTCCTTTATTTAAATTGTTTTCTTTCTTTCTTTTTTTTGGGGGGGGTCCGGTCATGGGCTTGAACTCTGGGCCTGGGCGCTGTCCCTCAGCTCTTCAGCTCAAGGCTAGTGCTCTACCACTTGAGCCACAGCACCACTTCCGGCTTTTTTCTTTTTGCTTATGTGGTGCTGAGGAATCGAACCCAGGGCCTCAGGCATGCAAGACAAGCGCTCTACCACTGAGCCACCTTCCCAGCCCGTTTTCTTTTTATTATTATTATTATTTTCAAGTAGTTGTCAAAGGATATCTGAGGATCTCCTTTCCCCAAGCCTCAGTCCCTCTATCTCTCTGTCTTCCTCCCCATGCATGTTTCAGGTTGCACTTACTAGGGATTTAATCCCATTTCTATTATTCCCTCTTTTCCCCTCGCCTTCAGAGTCCCCATCCCTAGAGACAGCACTAACTCCCCCCTACTCCAACTTCCAGATGCTTCGAATTTGCACAAGGTACACTCCAGAGCAGGACACCATGACCTTCTCCGATGGTCTGACCCTGAACCGGACCCAGATGCACAATGCTGGCTTTGGGCCCCTCACAGACCTCGTCTTTGCCTTTGCTGGGCAGCTCCTGCCACTGGAGATGGATGACACCGAGACTGGGCTACTCAGTGCTATCTGCCTCATCTGTGGAGGTGCGGGGGCGCCCCCTGGTGTCTATATGGGTTCCTTTCGCTCTATTCTCCACATCTGTTCTCTGGTGAGGTGAGGAACATTGGTGGTGGTCTCCTCCCTTAGGATTATTATTGCATCTGGTCCCAGCTACAGACCTCTCAGGTCCTCTAGTCTTCCAGGAAAACTAGAACATGGAACAAAAATGGTGTCTGGGGAGACCCTAGAAAGATTCTGGTTCTGATAAGTTCCTGATGTCAGGAGTGATTTACCAGAAAAAGGTTCCTGTGAAATAAGAGAGGTACATGGCTTTGAGCAGAGGAAATAACTCGGTAGAGCTATGACCATAGGGGAGGAGCTGGTGGGATAGTTTGGGCCATACTGTAGGGCTTGTTGGGGATCAGCCACTTGTCATGTGTCCTGTCCTTTTCTTCTTCCCCTGCTCTCATTCAACTGTGTTTGTGTAGACCGCATGGACCTGGAAGAACCTGAAAAAGTGGACAAGCTACAGGAGCCACTGCTGGAAGCCCTGAGGCTATATGCCCGGCGCCGGCGGCCCAACCAACCCTACATGTTCCCAAGGATGCTTATGAAAATCACTGACCTTCGGGGCATCAGCACCAAGGGTTAGTCATCAATGAGCCTTCTCTCTGTGTCTTCCCAGAGCTACAGGTCACACTCAGGTGGACAGGCAGAGACAAGAACTCAGTGATTGAGAATCAGGTGACCTACATAAAGTCTTAGCTTGACTGAAAGTTTTTCTTCTTTGCTTTTGTGTGTGTGTGCACACGTGCGCACTGTATGATCGCACTGATCCTGAGGCTTGAGCCATTTACCTTGGCACTGTTCTGTTCCTGAGATTTTTTTTTTTTTT